CTCCATCCGAGATGGCAACCTCACTAGTGGATCACAACGTGGCTGGAAGCCCGAATCGGCGGGATACGATGGCGATCTTTTTGGAGCGAGAGGAAAGGGAGAGGAGAGTTGCGAGGCGTAATTTGCAGGAGGAAGTGGGTGTACCCCACGGCAGGGAGCCCAAGGAAGAAGGGCCGGTAGGCAACGGAGAGCGTCCCGTAGCTCCGGAAGCAGCCTAGAGACGCGCCCGGGAAGAGGTACAGATGCTGCCTTGTAGTCCCCAAGCCAACTGCGTGCGCCACCTTTAGTTATGTGCGCTCCGCGCTTTGGGCATCTCCGTGTGATCGCGACCCTGTCCTTTCCACCTGGCGCCCTTGCTGCTTTCTGGCTCTTTAGCAACCGGCTTCGTGTTTGGAGCACTGCCGCTGTTTGGAGCTCCAAACGGCGGCGGAAGCTCCAAATGCGGAAGCTCCAAACATGACGGTGGGCGATCTTTTTATTTTGGTCCACGCGAAGTTCAGAGCGAGCATGAGAGGGAGACTGCGATGCCTTGCTAAAGAGCCAGAAAGCAGCAAGGGCGCCAGGTGGAAAGGACAGGGTCACGATCACACGGAGATGCCCAAAGCGCGGAGCGCACATAACTAAAGGCGGCGCACGCAGTTGGCTTGGGGACTACAAGGCAGCATCTGCGCCTCTTCCCGGGCGCGTCTCTAGGCTGCTTCCGGAGCTACGGGACGCTCTCCGTTGCCTACCGGCCCTTCTTCCTTGGGCTCCCTGCCGTGGGGTACACCCACTTCCTCCTGCAAATTACGCCTCGCAACTTTTCTCTCCCTTTCCTCTCGCTCCAAAAAGATCGCCATCGTATCCCGCCGATTCGGGCTTCCAGCCACGTTGTGATCCACTAGTGAGGTTGCCATCTCGGATGGAGGCATCGCAGTCTCCCTCTCTTGCTCGCTCTGAACTTCGCGCGGACCAAAATAAAAAGATCGCCCACCATCATGTTTGGAGCTGCCACTTCTGTGTTTGGAGCTCCAAATGGCGGCGGCACTCCAAACAGGGAAGCGGCAGCTCCAAACGTGGCAGCGGAATGGGCAGAAGGGAAAGCAACAGCGGCAGGTGCCAAAGGTGTCTGCAGCAAAGGTGGTAGTAGGGAGCTCTCTGTGCTTGGCCATGATCGCCCGTTAGGAGCGGCTGTTGGCGAGGATGCAAGGGGGGGAATTAAGTCACCCCCCGAAAAGACGGCCTAGCCGTTTTTTCGGGGCTCAAAAAAAAAATAAGGCCCGGCTTTATTATGTGAGAAACACGGTAGTTACCAAGCAGTAGGCATCTGTATTAAAAAGCTGCTTTCTTCCTCATCATAGGTTGGGTGGGCAACCTGCACACTTTCATTTTGTAGCCCTTGGAATGTTGGAATGTCCTCTGGTTATGATTGCTGAACAAGTGTGTTTCCCTCCATTTTGATATCAAGAAGTGTAGTATATTAAACCATATCAATATGGATTTTTTTAAAAGCAAGAAAGTTCCCAAAGGTTTTCCCAAATCTTGGCCTTCCCAGAGGTGGTATGGCCTTACCTATTTTATAGCCCTCCTCTGTTACCTCACCCCCCTTAAAATCCAGTCCTTGGATCTTACCTTTGAAAGTTCTGCCCCCTCTGCTGGATGCCTAGCGGAGTTGCAGTGTCAGCAGTATAGGGCTTTCCTTGCTATGTGTTTCCATCAGCCGTTTAACTAACCAAACAGGCAGCTTTGTTAAATGGGTAGTTCTGTAGAATCAATAAAAAGCCTGAAGACTTGTCATGCTAGAATTCTATAGAGAGGGAATTTTAAATGGATAGAATTCTCTCTGCCACATACAGAAAAGGCTGGGAAATGATCTGTGCAGATCAGCCAGGTTTTATCTTGATACAGTAATAATATAGCCTCTTTAGTGTTAACTTTGCTCATTCCCCCTGCCACATGCCAGTATGCATCATTTTATTAATTCCAAAATTTTATAAACAGGTCTTCTAAAAAAAATCAGAATTTTTTAAAAGTTATTCTTTTACAAGCATATACTCGCTCTGCAAATTGTATCCCATTTTTTAATTATAATTTTTAAATGTTTCCTGTTAGGAAAATAGAACCAGTAACATGTCAGAAATTTAAGTTCTGCTTACAGTTTGGTTCAATTGCAGTTCAAATTTAAGTTCTGCTTACAGTTTGGTTCAATTGCAGTTATCTGTCTTCTAAATTCAACCTTGAACAAAATAGTGATCAGTTTCTATCTCTACTTTTTATCTAAAAATCAGCAAATTAAATGTACGCTTCAGAGTAAAAATCTAAATATAAAGTGGTTTCTTCTATATTGCCAACTCCAAAAACTGTACAAAGCAATTCCTATTTGCGTCTTCAGTGGTTTTTAGTGGATATTTTTAATTAGTTCCTCTTTTGGCAAAATATATATTGGAAATTATATTTTGTATATACTTCTTATGCTTTCATTTGATATAAGCTCTCTGTAAACAATTGCACAAGAAAGGGTTCTTTGGATAGGGGAGCAGTACAAACTACTACATTGTACTGTACCAATTCAAGAGAAATTAGCTGCTCAAGAAAAAACAAAAACAAAAGGTCAACAGTTTGTACTTTCAGACTCAGAAAAAGCAAAAATCTGGATAGTGATAGGTTTTGAGTATTGGAGTGTCAATTAATCTCACAGGCCTATATAATACATTTTCCTTACCTAGTTTTCTATTTGAGCCCATTTTTCATTTCATCTGCAAACTTCAACCAAAAGTGACATCTAGCCCTAAAGTATGCAGACTCCATATCATACAAATTGAAATGTGGAAACATGGCTTATTCCATGCTGCTGTTAAAATTTTGATTCTGTGCTGTGACTTAATTAGCTCATAGAAATATGGTGATATCCAGAATAAGACATTGCCTTCTTAAAAATAGTTTCAGGTACATAGCATTGCAGATGAGAATTACGATAAAATACCTTTTCATGGTCTTCATTGATAGTACTACCACAGAAACTGCCTAGAGAGTGGACAAGGTTATTAACTTCAGGAGGAAATGGAGATTTGTGCTTAATATACATGCATAATTGAATTGGCTGTAGTATGACGCTTGGGAGATTACCTATGCAGAATGAGAAAACGATCTCAATTTAAAAATATTCGATGAGCAAGAGAAAGTAATTTTGCAAGCTGCTCTTCTTTCCCTTTATTTTTTTTAATTTTTTTAAATATAAGCTTAAATACAAAGGTCTGCATCCTCTTAGCAATGGTTAATGAATTTGAAAGTACACTATAAATTGAAAAAAAAAATGAAAAGTCTGGAACTACTGTGTGTACTTTTCTAGGGGGTTATTTGTGAAGATGCCTCTAGAATGCAATTGTTTCCTTGAAGACTTCAGACTAACAATAATAATGTTTCCATTTGTACTTAATATATTTACCAACTTTTCCTTTTTACTGGCAATAATCCACATTTTCTAATGCACTCTTTTCAGTAAATCACTGTCCCTTTTTTGACTTTAGCATTTTATGACTTGCTAGGTTTATAATTCTTATTTTCTGCTGATCATTCTTGATTCTGTTAGTGTTTTTTCCGATAAAGGATTATCATTGCATTTTGGCTACAGTGAAGGAAGTCCATTATTCCAAAGCCTCCAAGTCTTTGTCAGTATTTGGATATGAATCTAGATCTATTTTGGTCTCTGAAAATTAGTTGACATAACTAAATCATGATACTGAAAATGTAAGAATCATAAAACAAAGTTATGCATTAAATATTCAAACTCTCACTGACACAAAGTTAGAAATGCTGAATAATGATTTTTGCTGTTGTTATTGTTAAACTTGGATATGGATTTCTTTTTTAATAAAAAGAAGCAACTCCTTATCCTTTAATTGATATTTCCCAAGTAGGAGCATGGGCTCATTCCTCTTTTTTTTTTTCTTTGTTATACATAGTTAGGGTTTGGTTGTTTTCTGTTTTGTTTTGTTTTTACATTACTCTACTTCTCATCGACCATAGGTATCTTATATATCCCTGGGTCATTCTACAGTTGATGAATGGACTTAGAAATGTGATATGATCAAAGTTGTCCAGGGTATTAAATATTAAAATTTTAGGTTTAAAAGTTATGTCTATTAATGGCCTTAGCATCTGAGATGAAAATGCATCAAGTATAAGCTCCTGTCAATAAAATCCCCACGAGAGTATTACGTATATGGTAACCATGATTGTCAGGAATAGATTGTCCATCTCTTAAGAATATTAACCCAAAATTACGTAGAAATTATCTTTCAAATATATGACGATGGATATTTAACTTTAACGTATTTCCCTATTTTCAGAATGATTTTCTGTTTTGGGATTATCATAAAAATGCTAGTACTGTAGTTACATGATTTTCTGTTTTGTATTACTGTGCAATTGAAAAGGCTTTCTCTTAATAGGCAATATAATTTTATAGGTAGTCTTTGGCTTATGACCGCCGTTTAATGATTTTTCAGAGTTAACAATGGCATTGGAAAGGATGCTTTACGACCTGTAAATAACGTCTAGCCATCATAAACTGTACCATTCCTCTCCTGCAGAGTCACATGATTATATTTTGGGCACTTGGCAACCAGCTCATTTACGACTGATTGCAGCATCATAGTGACAGTATTAGGTTGGCTGTTTTTTTGCTGGTTTCTGCTGTTTTTTTTTTTTTTGGGGGGGGGGGGGGTTGCTGCTTTTTTGTAAAAGAAATCAAAAACCATGAATTCAGGAGCATGGATTTAGACTTAAGACCATGTAATTTGCTTAACACATGGTTTGCTTAACACTGTAAAAATTGTCATAATATCAGGTCTGATCTTGTTGGGTACCTTGTCATATGACCATCACAACTTACGACCAAAATTCCAGTTCCAATTGCCATCGTAAGTCAAGGCAATTGTAGTTAATGATATGAAATTATTATTAGTTGTTAATGGTTAAATAATAATAATAGATAGTGTAATTTGTAATTCTTTTTTCAGGCATTGCTTTGCTATATTTTCATCTACATGAGGTATATGGAGATCCATCCTATCTTCAGATGGCTCAAGAATATATAAAGAAGAGTCTTAGTTGCTTGACAAAGCGATCAATCACTTTCTTATGTGGTGATGCTGGACCTTTGGCCATGGCTGCAGTTGTATATCATAAACTACACAATGACAAGCAAGCAGAAGATTGCATTGCTCGGTAATGTCTCAAAATATTTGAGTAAATGCTCAGTGATACCTCAAACTCTCCATGATATATATTGCCTTACTTACGGGGAAGAAAAGCTGTTTCCACCAGAAGGTTGATCTTTGGAGTGCAACATCTATTACTTCAGATATAATAGGACGATGAATAAGTCATTTAATTCTTAACTAAATTATAGTATTTAGGAAGAGAAGTACATTCATTTTTAGAATGATTAATTTTGATAGACTAGATGGAGAAAACATTGGTAAATTGCATAGTTTTCCTTGAATAATTATCTGAATTTAAAGTTTCATTGCTAACTTTTTCATCCAAATTTGTATTTCCTATTTATATTCTGCTAAACTATTCAAGTCTCTATTGTTTAAAACAATGGTATATGAACAGTGATATTTTGACTGCACATCTGATACACAGTTCACCTTTTTATTTGGGTTTCTATAAAAGTCATTGGTATGAAAATGTCTATATGTACACTTTATGGATTGTTGCAACCATAAGTAAGATTTGTTTTATATCTATAATGAAATTCTGATGCTAATTTAAATTTATTTCAATGTAGAAAGCATATTGTACATTTTTTGTACTTGTACTATAGTTATCCATGAAGGTTTAAATACCCTCTGTTCGTTGTATGTATGTGTGTTTATGTCTGTGCATAAAAAATTCCCTTCTCACCCCTATGGGTGATATGTTTTCCTCAATTGGGTCCTCTACCAGGGTTTTGCATAGCATCTTAGTTTTTCCTAGCATTGGACTCTTGTAGGCATACAGCTCTGAAGTTCCTGGAATCTATTGATGCCATTCTTCAGCTAAGGAGTTACAGGTCCAAGTGTTTCCAGCCCTACTGATGCCACTTTGGCCTTTACTTTCCACATACTCTCTAGTCTCGTTCCTTCTTCAGACCCTTTTATTTCTCCAGATTCTCCTACTCCTTCCTGATGTTGCTGTCACTTGGGACTGCTACATCTAACATCACTACTGTCTTCTGGTCCTTGCCTACAACCACACAGTGTTGGTTTATTGGTTAATACCTGCCTATCTGTTTGGATCAGTCCCACAGGATCTTAGCCCTCTTATTCTCCACCACCTTCTGTGAAATCTCCCATCTGGCTTTGGCGGGTCTAGTCCAGGGGTGGGATTCTACCAGTTTGCACCTATTTGCTAGAACCGGTTGTTAACATTCTAAGCAGTTCGGAGAACCGGTTGTTAGAAGAAATTACTGGCCTAATCCTGTAAGGAAGGCAGGAAGGAAACATTCTGGTGTTGCTTACAGAAGCTGCCTCTCCGTTAACCCTTATTACATTCTTGGCAGGACTAGACTTCCTGTCTTAGGAACTTCTCTGGAGTTTTTTTCCCCTACTTTGCTTGTGTGAAGTGACCATTCAAAGTTACAATGGCACTGAAAAAAGTGACTTATGACCGTTTTTCACACTTACGACTGTTGCAGCATCCCCACAGTTATGAGAGGCCAGGCAAGGAGATGCATGCCTTGATGTGAGTGATATTGAGTGGGCCCTGCCCAGCCAATAACATGACCACCAAGCCACGCCCACCAACAGCCACGCCCACAGAACCAGTTGTTAAAAAATTTGAATCCCACCTCTGGTATAGTCCATACACTGTGCAGATGTTTATACACAATGCTAGCTACTTGATTATGGTCTTCAGTGTATGCTCTACCTGCCTGCAACTTATATCCTGTCACTTTGTGCTGGACTTCCTCTCCGCCCCTCCCCTCCTCTCTTCAAAAGATAGGGATTTTAGTTATCCCCCTTCTCTGTGGTCCCAAATTCTGGAAATATATTTTGGCAGCTTACATAGTTTCATATGACTCTGGCTTGTAATGAACAGAACTGGAGAAAGACACATTCTCCATCAGAACAGTATTTATTTAAATTCAGTTCTGTTCTTTGTTTCATTTGGGAAATTTTTCTTTTGTTTCTTCCACATTTAACTTCTATTCTCAGAATGAGAATTCAGTCTAATCACATAGTGCCCTCTGGTGGTATTATTGGAATAAAGCATGCAATTGTAAATTAATTGTTCTTGAAGGCTCTATCTTGACTAAGATACCAAATATTTGCTTTAAAACTGAGTTTAAAAAACTTGAATAACAATCTTGAGTTTGTTTGTATAAATATCATTATTTCCCACCAACTAAAAATGGGCTCTTAATCACAAAGATTTTTTTGCACATTAAAGATAGCAATGGTTTCATTTTATCCTTGGATTTTCTAATCAATTATGCTTAATTCTCTATATTTTCCCAGTGTATGTAAAATTTTAATCATCCATTTCCTAAATCCTGAGCACTGATGATGTTATCTAGCTTGGGTAATGAATTTCTGCAAGAAAACAAGCAATCTCAGAGAGCACCAAGGACCCTTCATTTCCTAAATTCTCTCTTAGTATGTGAATGACATGTTAGTAATTACTCTAATTATGTCACTATCCAGAGCAGTGTAAATTGCCTCTTTGATGATGCACATAATCTTTTTATTATCCAAATAAGCATTTTTATTTTTATTGCTTCTCTCCCTTCCTTCCTGAGGCCTAATATTTTACATTAGTCTCCCTGCAATTTATTTTATTGCTGAAAGATATTTGTATACACTATAACATACAATTCATATTTCCTTCACTGGAGATGTCAATGGGGAGATTTGGAAGCTCTACATTAAGGAAAGGTTTTATTTTCTTGTTCTTTCCTTTGCCAGTTCACAATTTTGTTCTGTTTACGCACAGCTGTTAAGCATCTTTACATTTAGTTTTTTAGCAACATGTTTCTAAATTCCTATGGGAAATATTTTAAATGTACCCCAAGGCAATATTATATAGGTATGATATTACTGCATTTCTACATGATTCAAAGTAGAAAACCAACATAGTTTTTTTATATAAACTAAAATATAATATTTGTTTTACATTGTAGAAATCTATAATATGAACAACTGATGACAGTATACATACAACTTTTTTTACTATATGTTGCTGTAGGTGTTACTCGGGTTTGTGGGATTTTACATTATTTTTGTAAATTCTCTGGTGCAAAAGAAGTGCCCTCCAATTTATAGTCATCTGAACGTAGTTTGTCTTCAGTTGTGAAGTTGAACTGAATACCACGTTTTTCCATGTGACAATTCACTCCTAATTATTTCAAGCTTTTTGGGTGCATAATGTAATGTGAAGGATTAGAGTATTACTTTACTACTGCTTATGAGTCAGAAATTCTTACAAATCACCAGGAAATTTTGCTCCGCTCTCTTCTTCTCCAGAGTATTTTAACACTTTCTCCAGTATAGTCTTGTAGCAAGTCTACACACAAAATATATAACACAAGCCTCCTTGAGATTTCTATTCACCTAACCTCCTATCTGTGTTCTAGGGTGGCTCAGTTTAGGGTGTTCCTTAAGTGAAAGAATTTCTTCTAGGACAGGAAAATAAACTGACAGTATTTATTCTTACTTCATTGACTTGTAGATTAAGTCAATGGGCTACATTATGGCATGATCTCTCCTGCCACCAGTGGGGACTCTCCTAGTTCCTTTAAGGCAGTGATCCCCAACCTTTTTGACACCGCGGCCCGGTACCGGCATCAGCTGGGCGCCGCGGCCCGGTACCGGCATCAACTGGCTTTCTACCCGGAAAAGCTCACCGGAAGCGCTGGCGCCGCCATCTTTTTTTGATGAAAAAGTGCTTCCGGTGAGCTTTCTACCCGGAAAAGCTCACCGGAAGCACTTTTTTACCAAAAAAAGATGGCGGCGCCCAGCAACCAGCGGCCCGGAAAGACTTGTTCCGTGGACCGGTACCGGTCCGCGGACCGGCGGTTGGGGACCCCTGCTTTAAGGATTTAGAATGCTTGTAACAGGCTAGAGCTGGAACGTGCTCAATGCCTTGTTTCAGGAATGAGTAATTTAAGATAAGATAACCTTTATTGTCTTTCTTTCTTTCTTTCTTTTTACTGTGGACACAGTGGCACACATTAAAAATGAAATTTTGTTGCCTGCTCTCAAAAGTGTACACATACATAACACACATATGTAATGCCTGTCGAAGGAGGGTATGGTATGCTACCACCTTAAGACACCTCTGACTTCAGCTGCCACTAGCATAAGTTCATTACTGACTTTTGAAGTCTTGTCTCAGTGTTTGGATTCTGTTGTGGTTTAGGGAGACCAAAATATACAAAAATTAAACTTGAGCACAGAGTAGTTGTTTGTTCCTTGTGATCAGCAATAGTGTTGTCTCTTAAAGCAGCGGCCTTCAACCTTTTGGGTACCAGGGATCAGTTCCACGGAGAAAGGTTTTTCTATGGACCAGAGGGGGCATGGTTTTGTGTGCTGTCTGAATCCTACAGATGGGGCTTCACTTGTTTACATGGCCCAGTTGCTGGCATACTACAGACCGGTACTAGTCCACAGACTGGGGGTTGGGGAGCCCTGTCTTAAAACACTACCCATAGGAAACAGAATTGTATTTCTGGATGCTCCGATTTGAATCAGAGCCAGAAGAGGCTTTGTCTAGTTTTGGCTAATGCACCAGTTACAACCATACAGGAAGTGGGAGGATCTTGTTATAGTGGTTCATATTCTTATCTGCCACTAGTATGGACTATTGCAATGCATTGCATATAGGGCTGCCTTTGGAGTTTGTTACAGTTGGCAAATAGTTCAAAATCCAGCAGGCTGCTCTAGGAATGGCCTGGTTCCCAGGTGTCTTCAAGATATCCCTTTCTGTGTAAAACCAACTTTTATGGTGCATTCCTCCAAGGTGAGGATGCTTAGGGTTTACTCTACATATGAAGTAGGAGCGATAGGAACAGTGGTGGGATTGAAAAAAAATTGCTACTGGTTCTGTGGGTTTGGCTTGGTGGGCGTGGCAGGGGAAGGATACTGTAAAATCTCCAGTCAGAGGTGAAATTTGCTGGCTCTCCGAACTACTCAAAATTTCCACTACCGGTTCTCCAGAACTGGTCAGAACCTGCTGAATACCACCTCTGGAATACCACCTTTTTCTGTGGTAATTTCCATCTTGTGCAGCAGCCTCCCACAAATCTCAGAGGTTCATGTAGTATCTACCTTGCATCTTTCAGGAAGCCTTTAGAAATTGAACTCTTTCACAGTGCAGTTGAAGCCCGAGGTTTGTTAATGATTTCAGATAGATATGGTGGCTTTCTGTATTTCTCTTGTTTTTGCCCATGATTCTATTATATGTTGTGTTGTTATATTGTAAACTACTGAGAATTTATCCTGACCATAGAAGTGTATAAATTCAACCAAATGAATATGGGAATTATGAAAATGGATGCTTAATAAGCAAAAGAAGTTGTGGGTGGGAAGAAAATGTTGCAGAAAGTAAGGTTGAAAAAGATATTAGGTGCACTATGAGGAAAAAATGTAGTCAGAACGAGCAAGAAACAGTTAAGAATAAAAAAGAGTTCAAAATGACAGAGTGATTGTCACATGACCCCCACCCCACCCCCATCACCAGTGGGTGGGAAATAATATACATATTTTTGAGGAGAGCTAAATAAGGATATTGTAATGTACAGATAGTCCTTGACTTACAACAGTTCATTTAGTGACCATTCGAAGTTACATCACTAAAAAAGGTGACTTATAATCATTTTTCACACTTACAATAATTAAGCATCCACATGGCCATATCATCAAAATTCACACTTGAGTTGCTTGGTAACTGGCTCACATTTATTATGGTTGCAGTGTCCTGGGGTCATGTGATCCCCTTTTGCAACCTTCTGACAAGCAAAGTCAATGGGAAATCCAGGTTCACTTAACAACTGTGGCAAGAGAGGTTGTAAAATGGGGCAAAACTCACTTAACAAATGTCTCATTTAGCAATAGAAATTTTGGCTCAATTGTGATCGTAAGTCAAGGACTACATTTAATGTAATTATAATGTAATATCATACTAAAATAAACTAAAACACAATTTAAACATGCTTAGAAAGCCTTGTCAGATTGGAGGTAGGGGAACTTTCCTTGCCATTGAATTATAAAGTCTAATAGAACTTTTTTCCCCTCCAAGCTTATTGCATCTGCCCAAACCAGATCCACGTATCCCTGATGAAATGCTTTATGGACGTATGGGGTATTTATCTGCTCTGCTGTTTGTGAACAAACATTTTGGAGAGGAAAAGATCTCTCAAAATCACATCCAACAGGTACTCTATCCTTTTTTTCTTTTTTTGTATAATCCTTGACTTACTATAACAATGAACCCAAAACTTCCATTGCTATGCGAGACAATTGTTGTCAGTTTTGCTCCATTTTACAACCTTTCTTACTACTAGTTAAATAAATCAGCAGTTGCACGGTTGATAAGTGAATCTGGTTTCCCCATTGGGTTTGCTAGTCAGAAGTCGCGAAAAATGATCACAGGATGTTGCGCTACTGCAACCATCATAAATACATGCCAGTTGCCAAGCATGTGACCATGGAGATTCTGGTGCTATTGTAATTTTGAACAGTCACCAAATGAATGGTTGTAAGTCGAGGACTACCTGTATCTAGAAACTCCTTCCATAGTTAATAATGCAACCTTCTAATGTCTGCTAACCCTATTTAAAAAAACAAATTGGCCAAAATCTCATAAGATTTCCAGATCTCACATGATTGGCAAATTCCTCAAGATTTGAAGAGTGTAATTGCAAAATCTCATGAGATTTGGAAAGATCCCCTTTTTTCCCTTTTTTTTTTCCTTTTGGAGGGGAAGGGTTACCTGGAAATATTGTTCCCTACACGTAACTTCTCTCATTTTTTAAAAAAACACAACACTGTTTCTTAAATATCGACTAACATGATGATTATAAGTTAAGAAAATTATTCAAATCCCACTTGCCTGTGAACTGATTAGAGATGTAGATAACATAATCATTTTATCTGTGAGACTCTTATGTGGCAGTTTCTTAGCAAACTTGATGGAGGGATACTGGAATATTTAAAAGTTCATCCTACCTAAAATAGATTATTATCATGCTTTTCCCCTTTTATTTATGCTAGCTATGAAATTTTGAAGCACAGCCATTATTATTTCTGATTTTTCCTCTAGGTTTGTGAGGCAGTTATGGCATCCGGTGAGAATTTGGCACAGAAGCGGAACTTCAAAGCTAAGAGTCCACTCATGTATGAATGGTACCAGGAGTATTACGTAGGAGCAGCCCATGGTCTAGCAGGAATTTATTACTACCTGCTGCAGGTGAGAGGCACTCTCACCATTCATGTATGTCTTAGATATAGCCAGAGATTTCATCACCATTAATGTGGCACAAATTGTAAAATAAAACTCTGTATTTCCAAATGAGGCAAATATTACTTTTCCACATAAATTTATATCCTATGTACAAATGTTACAACCATAAGCCAAAACTATAGGGTATTTTAAAGTTTTAAATAGCAGTACGTGAAACATAAGACAAGTGTAATAAACTCAATAGTTTTAATTGACACCTTTTTAAGTTAAAACCTGAGGGAAAAAAAAAAATCATGGTCAGATCACTTTGCTTTGGTTCCCCTTCTGCTAGCTCCTTCAGATAATTGTGTAAATGATGATACCTTTTTCTTCTGCTTTGAATATGACTTGATAGTACTCTTCTGAATTATGATACTCCTTTCTCCAGTGTGCTGACAAGAGAATCCAACAATGGGTTGACATTTGCCTTCCTGCCCAGACACTGAGTCATCAAAATTTAAGCCTACTTCTAACAGACAATGTAGCCACCAGGGGGTAATCGTCGGGGGGGGGCACCCATTCCAGGTTCCTCATGTGCAAAACGGAATAATTAGGACTCTGGGCAGAGAGTCACCTTCTCCCCATCAGGGCAGAGCACATCTCAGGGACAACAAACGTGCAGGTGGACTGGCTCAGCAGGGCCACAGTTGACCACTCCGAGTGGCGCCTGCACCCGGATCTCTTCAGAAAGTTATCCGAAAGGTTCGGCCATCCGATCCTGGACTTGTTTGCCACCCAGCAAACTCCCAGTTGCCCAGGTTCTTCACCAGATTTGCAACACTGGGGGTGGTAGGGATCAATGCACTCTGCAGCCCGTGGCCCCGAGGGCTACTGTACACCTTCCCCCTCTTCCCCACATTCCAGGTGTAATCAAGAAGGTGTTAGCAGAGAGGGCGGAGCTTCAGGCTCTTCCAGTACCCAGGCGTGTGACAGCCCATTCAACTAGAAGCACAGCTACGATGGCTGCCTGGGCGACACAGTCCTCTATCGAGGATATCTGTAGGACAGCAACATGGTCCTCCCCATCCCTTTTATAAGACACTACAAACTGTACACCTTTGCTTCGGTTGAAGCAGCCTTCGGCAGGAGGGTGCTCCAGAAGGTGTATACAGACTTGGGGATTCAGGACCAGACTGCTATCCACCCTTAGGACAGCTGGCTTTGGTATGTCCCATTCTTGGATTCTCTCGTCAGCACACTGGAGAAGGGTGTTGGTCTTACCTGACATGCTCCTTCTTGGTATGTTGAGAGAGAATCAAACCCTGCCCTGGCGACTGTCTGGTCCAGAGTCCAGGAGTGGCCAGAATCAACACTGGAAAGACGTCTACTTTTTCTACGCTATGCCTTCATCAAAACTGGGACTCAGACAGGCAAGAGAGGCATGGCTGAAGGGGACTTCCGGTTTGTCGGCTTCGCGAGCGGCAGGGATTTGCGATTCTGAGCGATCCCTGCCGCGCTAGCCGCTTTTGGTGCTCCGATCCGGACGGGTCCGGAGCTAGGCTATCCTGCAGGGGTAGCTGAAGATAGGGGGGATCCGGAGAGGGGTTTGGGGGTGTTGCAGACCCCCTCCCCGGCCGGCAGAACCCCCTTTTCCCAAGACGGTGCAGCGGCGGTCCGCAATGGCCGCCACAAAGAAGCCGGCAGCTGGGCAAGTATGCGCAGGAGGAAGAGGAGAAAGCTTTTGAGAGTGAAAGTTTTCTTGGTTGATCCAGGACTCTAAGATACATTTAATTTAATTCCTGGAAATGATGGCTTTTTGGATGATTCTTTCCACAAGAGAAAATAAGCGGCAATTTTGAGGTGCTGAAAGGAAAGTTTATTCTCCCTCCCGACGGAATTAATAAGTGGATATTGAGAAACCTGTTTTTTTCAGGTAAAACTAGCTTTATGGGATAAGTCGGAAGGGAGAGGACAAAAAATATATTCATCTGGTTTGATTTTGTTGGAGGAGATGCCTTAAGGATTTGAAGACAGAAATATAACTCCAATAAGGCTTCAAAATACAGATTTGGACTTTCTTTTTTCTTTTGTCTGATACTACCCCTGGAAGAGAAAGGGAGAATTTTGTCTTGGCTTGGATTGATTGAGGATTGTGGATTTTGGGATTGTTTTACTTTTTTTTGAAATATCTTGGTTGGTGTAAGAAGAAAGAGGGAAAAAAGAAAAGAAAAGATCTATAATGGCTTTTTCTTTTGAGGAACTGAGGGAAGAATATGAGCAAACAAAAGCAGCCTGTAAAGATGGTATGGAAAAAGCCTTCCTATTTTTAGAAATGGCGCTGGTTAACTATCAACAAACAATACAACAGATGGAGGCAGAAGAACAAGAAGAAGAAGAAAACGAAGACGCCATCTTTAATGAATTCCAAAATTTATCTAAGAAAGAAGGAAGGAAGGAAGCGAGGAAAATGAAGGACTTAAGATCTAAAAAAACATTTAAGAAAGAGAAAAATATGATGCAAAATAAATATAATGATAGTAAACAAAAGAAAAAGGGAACACAACAGAGAAGGGATGCCAGCAAGGCAGAGGCTAGAAGAAGGGGGGGTAGGAAGATTTGGTGGGGGAAGAAAGAAAGGGGAAAGGCGGAGAAAAGCCACAAAGTTTTGAAATTAGATGGGAAAAGAGGAATTTTTTTTAGGGATAAAGGGTAAAGTACAATTTCCTTAAAAAAGATTTTGCAAGGTACATAAGATGGTATTGTAACATCTGTATTAGAAATAGAAAATTAGAATGGCTTAAGAGTTAATAAGAAATTAAAATGTTGAAATGCTTAATAATGATTGATTTTAAAATGTAATAAAATATTAAAGGGAAAGGCAATGGGAATGTTATAAGATTTAATATTTAGATTTATTATTTAACTATGTATTTAATCATTTTGGATTTATTATTCTGTTTTTATTGTTATTAAAAGAAAAAAAATTAGTAGATAGAATGTACCAAGCAGAATCAGATTGGGTATTAGGTGTTATTTTAAATGTTAATCTAATTAATTTAGGGGGAGGATAGAAAGGCATCATACTCTGATTAGTGATTTCAGGAGAAATTCTTTTTTTTTTTCATTATAAGGAATGAGATAGAAGGATAATAAAGAATGGGCAAAAGATACAAATATAATGATTTAAATTAAGATGGATTAAATAAGATAGAATTATGAAGAGTGAAATGTGTGGAGAAGTTTATATAGAAGATATAGAATGGTAAACAAAATAGGTAATGATATGTAAGATGAGCATGAATATAATTGAAGCCCATATAAAGAGAGGTACCTGGGGCCAAGTTACTTTCCTAAAAGATTTTTTATATGTTTGTTTGTTGTGTGTTTATGTTTTTGAGAGTATTAATAAAACCTTGTAGAAATACAGAATGAGAATAATGGTAATCAAGTCAGAAAGAAATAGATGAAATAATAATAGTGAAATTGAATAAGAGTAAAGAGAAGTAAAGAGAAATTGGATAAGAGGTATTTTTATGCTCATATGGAAATGGCTTAAAATAGAATTGTATTGTATAAGATAAGGTTTTATCTGACTTGTAAAATTTATAATGGAAAAAGGTTCAAATATGTAATGGTTGATGATGATTTGTTTGTCTTTGAAATTAATAAAATTTGCTTAAAAAAAAAAAAAGAGAGGCATGGCTGAAAGTTTGATGATTCAGTCTCTGAGCAGAAAGGCAAATGTCAACCCATTCTTGGATTCTCTCTCAGCACACCGAGAAGGAACATGTCAGGTAAGACCCCTTTTAATAAAATCTTGCTGTCACTTTAATTTGTTATTAGGGATTGAGAACATGAGCATGCATATCTTATGTTCCAAACTTAATATTTGGAATATTTTACAGTCCCCTCCAGAGTTAGACAATTTAGGGGCAGTTGCATCTTTTATATTTTTAAAGCCATGTTTAAAACATAGAGGAAGTAGCATCTTATGACTGATTTAAGATCATGTGTGTTTTGTTATCTCAGCCTGGTCTTGGTGTGAGTCAAGCAAAGTTGCATAACATGGTGAAGCCAAGTGTGGATTACATCTGTCAGTTAAAGTTTGTTTCTGGCAATTACCCCCCTTGCATCGGAGACAACAGAGATTTGCTGGTCCATTGGTGCCATGGTGCACCCGGTGTTATCTACATGCTCCTTCAGGCCTATAAGGTAGGTAGTAACAATTAGACAACCAAACAAGATTTTATCCCTTCCTGTCAGATTGTTTAATATTTCTGTTCTAATTAAAATGGGTATTAGATGTCCCTGCCATGCATTTTGATGGTCTTACTGTTGTGTTATAGTGACAGCTGGTAGTGACATTTCTTCCATTTATTGCTCAAGAGATCTTTTCAAGGAAAATTATACAAGTCAGAAGAATCAGAATAGAGCTGAAAGGGACTTTGGAAGTCTTCTAGTCCAACCCCTGCTCAAGCAGGAGACCCTATACCATTTCAGACAAGTGTATGTTCAGTCTCTTCTTAAAAATCTCCAGTGATGAAGCACCCACAACTTCTGAAGGCAAGTTGTTCCGCTGGTTAATTGTCCTCACTGTTAGGAAGTTTCTCCTTAATTGCAGGTTGCTTCTCTCCTTGATTAGTTTCCATCCATAATTTCTTGTCCTGCCCTCTGGTGTTTTGAAAAATAAATTGACCTCCTCCTCTTTGTGGCAGCCCCTCAAATACTGGAATACTGCTATCATGTCCATCCTCTCCCCTAGAGTCATTCTTTTCTCTAGACTAGCCAAACCCAAATCCTGCAACCATTCTTTTATGTTTTAGTCTCCAGGCCTTTAATCATCTGAGTTGCTCCTTGCACTTTTTTTAAAGTCTCAACATCTTTTTTGTAATGTGGTGACCAAAACTGGATGAAATATTCCAGGTGTGATCTTACTAAGGCTTTATAAAGTGGTACTAATACTTCACGTGATTTTGCTTTTATGCCTCTGTTTGTACAACTAAGGATTGTATTAGCTTTTTTGGTGGTGGATGCACACTGCTGACTCATGTTTAAGTGTAAAACCTTGCTTTTCTCCACATTAAATTTCATTTTGTTGGATAGGGCCATTGTTCAAGTCTGTCAAAATCTTTTTGGATCCTGAGCTTGTCTTCTAGAATATTGGCTAGTCCTGCCAGCTTGGTGTCATCTGTACATTTGATGAGTTCTTCTATTCCCTCATCTAAGTCATTTATGAAGATATTGAAGAATACTGGGTCTAAGACAGAACCTTGTGGTACCCACTGCTTACTTTCCTCCATGTAGATGTAGTACCATTAATAGCTACTCATTGAGTATGGTTTGTCAGCCAGTTACAAATCCATCTACTAGTTATAACTTTGTTTCTGGATGTTCACAGATCTGTTTTATTATCATTTTTTCCAGTATCTTCCCAGGTATTGATGTTAGGCTGATTGGTCTGTATTTCCTGGGTCTGTTTTGTTTTTCCTTTTTTGAAGATTGGGAACCACATCATCTCTTTTCAATCCTCTGGTAGTTCCTCGGTGCTCCAAGATTTTTTAAAGATATGATGCAATTGTTTTGAAATAGCATCTGCCAGCTCCTTCAGAACTCTGGGATGTAATCCATCAGGTCCCAGTGATTTATATTCATCAGTGTCAAACAGGTGTTATCTTAGAAGCATTTTATTGCTTATTTTAAGTTTTATTTCTAGCTGCCTTTTACAGTTATGATTTTGGTAGGTTGGGCTATAGTTTCTTTTTGTGTGAAGACATGCAAAGAATGAGTTAAGCAGGTCTGCTTTCTTTTTTTAAGTTTTTTTATTTTTAAATATATATAAATATTAAATATATGAACAGTGTGGCATCTGGGTATCATTAATTTTGGTACCAAATAATAGTAATGAGATTAACAATTTTGATAGCCTTAATTACATTAATCTTACATCATTATATTAATATTGTACATAATACAATCATCTTTCAAATTCTGGTCCATTTATCTACCTACTTATTGTAACATATTATATAGAAATATGCATAATTATATTTTCCCCCTTTCTAATTTCTACCTCTATTCTATATCTTAATATCACAAATCTTATAATGATAGATATTCTATTTCTATCCTTCATCTCTTGTCCATTTTAGTATTTCAGTTCTTGTTAATTTTTCTTTTTTTTTTCCTTTGGCACGATTTCCACATTATTATAATAACATTATCAATATTACAATTAACATTGTTAACAGTATAATATTTACTCCACCATATATCTAATCCCTCATCATTTGATTTTCCCAATATTTTATTACACAATACTAATAATCGTACTAACCTTACTATTATTATTTAGCGGTATATAACACAATCATCTTTCAACTTCTAATCCTTTTCTCTACTAATTTTAAGGCATTACATGAGAGTATCTTTAGTGCTAATATCCTTGTTACTAATTCCTACCTCTATTCTAAGTCTTAATAACACAAAACTTATATTGGTGGATGTTCTGTTTCTGTCCATCATCTCTTGTTCACTTCAATATTTCTTCAGTAGTCTGAGCTTCATGGCGGCCATCATGGCCACCTCTCTTCTTCTTTGTTGTTGGATAGGAGGATAAGCCCCTGATCAAGCAAGGGAGTTGCCACTCTCCGTGATCTGCAAGGCGTTCCTCCTTTCTTTGTCACCCCTCCAAGGTGACTTTAGCCCTTTTAAGGGCCCCTCAACAAAAAGAGTTCAGTCTAGGTTAGCGGAGGCCCGCTCTCTATGACTGTGTTGCAGTGATGCCAAACCAGAAGTCAAGCAGCCAGCTCTGCCTTCTCTCTACTGCCTGTTATTTCTGTGCCATCTTTTGTCTTTAATGGACTGGCTGTTTCCTTGACTTTTTTCTTGTTATTTATATGTTGAAAGAATTTTTTTATTATTTTTAATTTCTTTTGAAAGTCTTTGTTCATTCTGAACCTTTGCTTTCCTGACTTCATCTTTGCAGATTCAGGTTATCTGTTGATATTTTGTCTTAGTTATGTGTCCCTCTTTCCATTTTTTTGTACTTATCCTTTTTATATTTCAGTTTATAAGAGAGATCTTTGTGCAATCATGCTGGTTTCTTCTTGAATTTCTTATTTTTCATTTTCAATGGTATCGTGTTTGACTGGGCTTTTATTATCATATTTTTCAGTGTTTCCTACACTTTCCATTCTTGTCCCAAAGAGCGAGTGAATAGCCACTAATTAACAAGAATATGTTGAGCCTTTTCTGTTTTGTCCTTGAATGATGGAAGAAGCTGCCAATAATAAGAGAACAAAATGCTGCTTGTTTTCTCAGGTGTTTGGGGAACAGAAGTATTTTAGTGATGCCTTGCAATGTGCTGATGTGATATGGCAGTGGGGGTTGCTGAAAAAAGGATATGGGCTGTGCCATGGTACTGCAGGCAACGCATATGCCTTCCTGGCACTGTACAACCTTACTCAAGACATGAAATATCTCTACAGAGCTTGCAAGGTGAGCACATGTTTATATGGGACAAGAGGTGTAGCTTGGCCTGCAGAAAAATTAACTAGACAGACAAAATGTAGATCACTACTTCACGCAGTTTCGATTATTTGCCTTGAAAGGCTGGAAAATGGGCTGGTATTATTATTTTATCTGGATTTTAAAAAAAACAAAACTTTAAACTGTTGGGGAAAAGGTAACAAATTGCTTGGGATTTAGATTTGCAGAACCTCTGAACTGCTACCTTTTTTACCTTTTTTGGCAAATATGCAAAACAGAGTTTACCATTGGAAAGTTGTTGATATTGCAAATTTCCTACACAGAAGCCACTTTTGTCAATATTATCATTTCCGTATTAGTCATAGAAGTGAGATTACCTGTTTTTCTTTTTCCTTATATAGTCACAGGCTTTGAATTTTGGTGGTGGTAGTAATTGAAATTTATTGTCTGTCAGGATTCCCTATGCCTGTTTTATAGTTGCCATTGTCAATATTCTATGCCTTTGTAGGAGAAAGAGGTGACTTTTACTATTTGCCCTATTTTCTACAGCCCTTTCAATCTTAAATAAAACCTTCTCTGGAAGATATGAGATCCTTTAGTACAGTGTTTTTCAATCTTAGTAATTCTAGATTAATTGAACTTAAATCCTCAAATTCCGCAGCCAAAATTCTAAGGCTTGAAGTCCACCCGTCTTAAAGCTCAAGAGTAATCAGGGTTAGGAGCCTGAATGTGAAAAATTCCCTTAGCCTTCTTGTCTAATCTGCCTACCCTAAGCTTTCTTGTCCTGTATATATGCTTCTATTTGGCTTTTGGCTCAGAAGGCTTTGATTTGTGCCAAAAGGTGGTTCTTCCCTCCCAAGCCCAGCCTGATTTTTTTTTAATCAGTCATTTTTTGAGTTTTTCCAGTTAAACTGTAATTGTTAAAATGTTTGCAAAAGGAGCTTGGAAAATACTTACAAAACACCTGCAAATACATTGTAAAGCTCTTAAATATTCTTTATGTCCATGATTCATTTTCAGTATTAACATATCTTAAGATATATCTTGTGCATAGAATTAATGAAGACTGTAAGAAATGAATCCTACAAAAATTTAACTTATACTAGATAAATTACTTAATTACTTAAAAGTGTATTTTTTTTTTAGTTTGCAGAATGGTGTTTAAGTTACGGGCAACATGGATGTCGGACACCGGATACTCCTTTTTCCCTTTTTGAAGGTAATAGTCACTTCACTTTTCCTCTCTTCAGAATCTTAATATTTTTAACGATAATAACAATTGGGATTGGATAACCGAAATATGGTCTCATACACTCAAATTTCTGCATAAGCTACTAATAGCATACATGTGGACCAAATCAAATTATTTGCAACTGAAGGTTATATTGTTTTGTATGTAGCTTCCTGCATCTGTTGCCCTCCAGATATGTAGGGATTATTTATTAGTTGAGAATGCTGGTATATAGTTATCCCAACGCATCTAAAAGTGCCCTTGGTTAAATGAGGCTTCTATTAGAGCAGGAAAATGGGTTGTCTCTGGGTTTTTTGGAGGGGGGGGATGTCTGACCTTACTAAAATGGGTTTTGCATATCCATGATAAACTGAAACAGAAAGAAAAACTATTTAAGGACCTCAAAGTCAAACTGACAAAAAGAAAAATAATTAAAAATATAATATGGACTTCTCTGTCCTTCTTCTATACCATATTGGAATTGATTATAATTAGCACCAACACATAAATACTGGAAATATTTTGTATTATCCTAGTATTGCAGATAGTGAGAAATAATGTCCTTCCGTAAGATTTTTGGTTAGTTAATGGCACACATTAAATTAATTGTTCAAAAACTGTCCTGTTTCACCCATCTAACAACCACTTTGCAACACTTTCAGTTTATTTTCCACGCAGAAATTGTTATTACATCTAGACATTTGCTATTTCACCATTGCTATAAGTAAATCATTGCAAAATAAATGTCTGCTCTTCTAAAGCAGTCTTCTTCCAACCTAGGTGCTTTGCAGATGTCTGAACTTAAGTTCCCAGATTTCTTTAGATACTATGGATATTTGCTAATAGTTCTGGGAATTCAAGGCCAGGCATCTGTTTAAGCATAATTATTGCTTGTCTGTTATTGTTTTTTACAGGAATGGCTGGAACAATATATTTTCTTGCTGATCTTCTGATACCGACCAAAGCCAGATTCCCAGCTTTTGAACTATAAATTCCTTCTCAGCCAATATTAAATACTGACAAGAAGTTCTTTGGTTCTTTGGAAAAGGCAGATTAAGTAGGCTATTATCTCATTTCTTGACTAGAAAATTCAAACCCTAAGGAGGAGTATTGATGTTTACATTCTCTTCTGCATCTGATCTACTTCTAAAAACTACTAGCCTTTTTTGTAAGCATTCTAGGTTCACATAATATAGTTTTCTCTGTTTTACTGAAGGGGCTGCAACTTGACTAATGATTTTTTGAAGATAAAAAAACAATATATTTGGCAGTCAATTATTTTGCCTTGCTTAGATAGCTATAGGACAGATCTTGAAATTATTATCTGGCAAGAAATATTCCTTGTGTTGGGACTTCCAAGACACACCAAAGGTTATGGCTAACACAAAATTTATCAGAGCCATTTCTGAAACATATCCTTCTGATTTCTTTGCATGTTTGTTGTTAAAACAAATGCACTGCTGATTTATCAGCAACTTGTCCCCAAGCATATAACTCTTGGATGAATTTTCCTGTCTTTAATTAATGCTTTCAGGGGCCTCCAACCTTGGCAACTTTAAGCCTGGAGGTCTTCAACTCCCAGAATTCTGGGAGTTGAAGTCCTCCAGGCTTAAAGTTGCCAAGGTTGGAGATCCCTGGTTTATAGCACGTTTCCAACAGGAATTGAATATATTTGATATATTTATTGTTGCATTTTTTCTTATCTGTGACAGATTAGAGCAATGTGGTTTATCGCATAAGACCTGTCTGAAATCTTTTTGCAAAGAGCCACATATCATTGAGTATTTAACAGTAGCTTGTAAACTCTTAATACATTTATTATATTAAAAAAAAGAATTTACCAGTAGCTTAGTATTAGCTTGAGTTAAGGTAAAATTTCAACTATACTTCAGCTTTAAAAAAGGCTGAAATGATTCTTCTCACATAGTTAGATTAGCACCTGGCTGATCTTTCAAAGCAAATACTGAAATATACATTTCGTACAAAAGAGAGAGGTAGCTGACTCCAAATGATTAAAAGGGACTGTTCTGTAGTTCTTGCATCTTATAGTGGCATAAATTACTGCAAGACTGCAATAGTTACCAATATGAATTCAGGGGGTGGGGTGGTGGGGTGGACGACACTTACCTGGATGTTCAGCATTATTTCCAGACAGCAGTATTCAGTATGTTGGATATCATCTTAATAAAAGTATCTTGTTCATTTGACTTTTAGATACTGTATAAGTTCTGTTTATGTGGATAATTAGTTTTAAGCCTTTGGAACATACTCTAGTCTGCTTTGTTGTTAAGGTTCATTGAATTAAAGCTGTTTTGGACAAATACCTAATTTTATGTTCTTTGTAAAATATATATGCATATACAGAGAGATAGAGAGAAAGGGGAGAGAGAGAGCATAATAGCCCTTTGAAGGAAGGAAATTCTACAAATGATCAGAATACAATTGTGCTGGTATAAATTAAAAATGAACTACACAAGTAAAAAATTCCCCAAGTCAACCTCGATTTTTGATAACCATATGAACATAGTTATATAGTGATGGGGGGGAGGGGGCTGCAGCAATAAGGTGTTATTGCCATGTTCACGCATGCAAACATACGTAGACATCCCACCACTCCTTTTTTGGATAAGCAATATCCAAATACGACAAAGTGTGGCCTACTTCTGTTTTTCTGACGTAAGTCAAGTTGATTGGATTTTGCTACCTTAAGTTTTTCTATGATCAAGCTTGATGGGAGGATATGCCCATCTTGTTTTCTGTGCAGCCATGCAAAAGTAGATAAGATCACAGAATATGGAGTTGCCATACATGAAAAAAATGAAGCCAGCTCTTTATCCTTGAGAAAAAGGGATGGAATTAACAATAACAAGCTGCAAGGGAAGGCACCCTTGGATACATTTTAATCAAGCTGTGAATGAAGAAACAAGATTGCTCATTCATGATTGTGGAACTGAAAAGCAAGAATGGGGCAGTGGGATAAGAACTGAGAGAATAGAATAATGTAATCCATAAATGAGGTGCATGAAGAGAAGGAAAGCATGGCCCAAGGCAGCTGAGGCCAGTAGGCTGCCCTTATGGGATCAAAAAGGAGCAAAGCAATGAGCCAGAAGAGTAGGCCTTGCTGTTTGTACCTAAGGAATCTCCACAAACAATTAGGAGAGGGGAGAAAAATACATCTCCCGCTGCTCTGAGATCAACTGTGCTGGAATCAGCCTTTGATCAGGGAGCTGCCATAATATTTGTGTCTTTAGCTACACCTTTTTATCCCAGGGGGAGAGTTTGGATTGTCAGCATATTGATTCATTTGTTCATGTAATAAAGTTATACGGCCATCCACCTCATATATATGACTCTGGGAGGCTGACAGAATAAAAACTGTTTTTGCTATGACTAATTTTTGTTTAGATGAAAGTATGATCTCATTTAGAACATTCATGCCAGCAGGTAGTTTGAAGGCCATGAAAACTATAGGCAGAGATAATTATTGCTTCAAGTTGTGAGACTTGAGAAAATCAATTCCTTTGATCCCTACCCTGGTCTCTTCTGGGGCAGTAATTATGTTATTAGCATCTTTAAAAAATCCCCCAACAGGTGAACATATGTTTATTACAATGTAATATAATTTATTATAACATAGTGAATGTTTGCTGCTCTTGGGATAACTGTCTGATAAAAGTAAATTGCATGTTTTGATTTAACAGGTTCACAATTTTTATGTTCTCAATGTGCCTATAGTGAAATAACATATCTAATGTAAATGTATAAAGGTTTTATACAGAAGTTATTAATTACATAGGCAATGCAATTTTAGTCTCTTGCTCAAATATTCTGTGTTAATTGTATGTCTCCAACTGCCAATAGATGGCACTATAGTTCAATGCTTTTTACTACTAATATGCTGATAAAAAGATAAAGATAAAAAGACAAAGTACTTAAAAAGAAATTTTAAAACATATTAAACTTTAATCACATGGAACAATATTGATCATTATGTTGATAAAGAGCCAGTTGCTATGCCCAAGGTGAAAACACGTCACCTTTAATTGTCTTTCTATTATAAAACAGTAATAATTTCTGCTGTACCTTCCACTCAGCAAATCTGTTGCCTTACAGATATTGATAAATTCAAGGTTTTTTTATTTATGTAACCTAAAATCATACATCTTTAAGTCATACTACCCTTGTTAAAAGTATATCAATAAACATGGATATTAAACAGGAAAATGGCATCATATACGAATATTGCTTCTGTCATTTTTTTACTTGGCATGAGGAGGCAGACAGCCAAGCTTTAAATATCTTCTGAAGATTATATATGTGTGTGCCTGGTTGGGGTGTATCAGGGGGATAGCCTTTGGAAGCCTGCACTCACAAACAAAAAAATATCCACACCACAAGCCAGGCAAACACCTGGGCACAAACAGATCCCCCCTGATACCTCCAGCTCAAACACACCCCAACCAGGCACCCAGATGAAACCCAGCTTCCTAACTAATGATAGCCGTCCATTTACCCGAAGCCAAGCTGCACTAAAGGCCTCCATTAAAGTAACACAATGCTGCCAGCCAATCAAGATACAAAAAGAGCCAAAAAACAGACAGAAGATATCAGAGACACCCATCAAGCAGAACACAGCAAACTCCGAGACCAATAAACACAGACCAAGACTCCCAACCAATCAGGATGAAGAAAAAACCATTCTGGCACAGCAATAGGCTGCCCCAAATTTAAATCTGAAACCACTGTAAAAGTCTGACCCACAGACGGACACAATACAGAAGCCTGATGATGGCAGATGAGATTCTGCTGAAACGTTGCTACAACTTTAAAAGAACTACAATGACGTGGGAAAATACCCGAACCAAGCCGAACACCATACATGTAAGTACCCGCGAAAACTTAAGAAAATATATATATATATATATATATATATATAAATGTATGAAATTAGTTTCACTTTAAGGTAATAAAGGAACATTTTTAATGTTTTTTAAAAATCTTAACTACTAGGAGGCTGTATTAACATATTAATTAGTAAGTTTTAGTTTAGTTTACATTATTGTAATTGCACCTCATACAACTAAATTAAATACCATTTTCTGTGTACATTGACTATGAAAATAAACACAAATACACATCCATCACATTCTATACATTGAATTGAAAATCCCTGATATTGCATTAATATTGCACTATACAGTAGAATTCAATAGAGTTACTGCCCTGGGATAGAAGCTGTTTTTCAGTCTATTTGTCCTTGTTTTTATTATCCTGTACCGTCTGCCAGATGGTAATAGTTCAAAAAAAAGAGTGCCCAAGATGAGATGGATCTTTGAGAATGTTTTGAACTTTCTTAAGGCAGCGGCAGCTATAAAGCTCTTCCAAAGAGGGGAGAGGGCAACCAATGATCTTCTGGGCAATGACATTAACCCCAGTGGTGATATTCAGCCGGTTCACACCAGATTGGGCGAACCGGTAGCAAGAATTTGGCATGGGTCGCCGAACTGGTAGTAAGTTCTAGCTGGCCATGCCCCCCACCCAGTTGCCCTCCCGCCCGATGCTCGCTCACCCCGCCCTCCTGCCTGACATTCATCTAAGGTATTTCTTTTTTTCCCCTCCCGACAATCAGCTGTAGATAAGATCAGCTGTGCCGGGATTTCCCTTGCTGAGGCCCAGGAAGGCAAAAAATGGAGGGAGGAGCTCAGCCCCCCCCTCCATTTTTTGCCTTCCAGAGCCCCAGAGGAGCCTTCTGGGAGCAAAAATGCCCCCCAGAGGCTTCTCTGAAGCTAGGAAGCTCCCAAAACAGACCTTGGAGGGGTGTTGCATGCCCCTCCCATGCTCTGTTCCTTTTCTTCCTGAGCCCCAGAGGAGCCTTGGGGGAGCAAAAACGACCCCCCAGAGGCTCCTCTGTGGCTAGGAAGCTCCCAAAAACAGGTTGGGGCTGCAAAATAAGCCACACCCACCCAGTCACATGGCCATGCCCACAGAACAGGTAGTAAAAGTTTTTGAATCCCACCACTGATTAACCCTCTGGAGTGCTGACTGTGCAATTGGTAAACCATACAGAGGTGCAGTAAGTTAACATACTCTCTATGGTGCAGTGGTAGAAGGTCTCCAGCAGTTTTTCATTCAGTAGTTGTTTTCTGAGAAGTCTCAGATAGTATAACCTCTGCTGGGCCCTTTTTACTGTGAAATCAAAAGGTGTTTTAATTAATTTTAATTATACTGCCGTTTTGCAGATGGTTACTAGGATGCTCTTCAAAGATAATTAAATATATTGTCAGATGTTAACATATATTTGCTTGGTTTTTTTTAATGGTATGCAAATTACTGAATCTCTTCAATAATTAGACAAAATGCATTGATTCATCTTTCAATGGCAAGATAATTCTATTGCATCCAGAATTTCTTGAACTTTTCTCATTTATTTTTGTCATTTTTGAACATATCCCAGTTCTTTTTAACAGTAAACTGGGATATAGAAGCATACTTGAAATGGAATCTTTCTTGGTTAAATGTTTATCTAACTGTTCATGATCGCTTATACAGGAACTGGAAGAAGACTGTAGAACAATCCACTTTTTGGAGGGTGCTGCTGCTGAATCTACTAAAGATGTGTACCTTTAAGGAATTCTACTTGAAGAAAAAGTTATTGCAAAGAATGTTCCTTATATGATATAGAGCAGGACTGTCAAACTCCAGCCCAGGGGCCAGATGTGTCACGCACCGGCCACCCCACTCCCAGTTTAGCAAAGGGGGGGGGGAGTCCCAATACATCACATGACAACGCTGTGACAACATTAGTTTGACACACCTGACCTAGAGCAACTAAGGGGAAGCTATATCTCACAAAACTACTAGGGTAATGTATGAAGCAGCTGAGAAAAATCCACATAGATGAGACATTACGCAAAAATGATACAAAAATAAGGAAAATTATCATGCATTTGCAGATTTTAATTAACCCTATTTGACCCTTTACCTCATAATTGCACATATTTATAGAGTTTGGTTTCTGTGTATGTATCAATATATATATGATATAATTTATTTAGTATAATTGGAACACAGTGGAAGAGAAATTGCACGGGTCTCCACAAGTATTTGCTATGCCACATGTCATGAACTTATAGACATTTACCCTTTAAAAAGTTACTGAATTGGTTTCCCCAAAATGAATGCCTATATTGATCTTCAATTGTCTGAAAAACACTAGAAAGGAATATGGGTAATAAAGGGGACTTTGGATGAAAAGAATCTGGGATTGAATAGAGCAAATAAATAAGCCCTGACATTTCTTGAAAAGATTTCATCATGCCTCAGAAATTTCCAGCAAGTGGTTCAAGTTCTGATTGGGCAGAGTCTATGTTGTTCACAGCAGCTACAATTTGTCAGTTTTTACAGTGACTGTAACTAAAACCATGATGGACTGTTCCTCCACCTCATTCTAGTTGGAGCCAGTTGCTATTCAGCATGCAACAGAATGCACAACTGGGACAAATGCTTTGGGCATAATCAGATTCAGTCTCATATTTCCAGCATTTGTCTTCATTTTAAAATAGTTAAATCTTCCCTTCAGCAGTCTTGGGTAGTTTTGAATGGAGGGGAAAATCAGTATTTGTGTAACATAATTTCTTGCTCCAAAAGGACTCTGAATTCTACTGGATAGATTCGTGCAGACTGAGTTTCATGCAGAACAGAGCAATCTGTTCCTTTTACTATGGAGCTTTCCTGAGCTTCTGTGGTCTTCCTTCAAATTTGTTATACTAACCCACGGGTGTCAAACTCTCGTCATGTTGCTGATAGGTGACGTTTTTCCCATTTACAGAGTTGGGGCCTGCATGTGACACATCTGGCCCGCGGGCCGCCAATTTGACACCCCTTTCTGACCTCTCACTAATTCTCAGACCAGGAAACTAAAATCAGATAGCTGGATGTTGAGCAATGTTTTTTGGCTCACAATGGTTGTATGATCTGAAAATGGAGAGCATAGCCTTTCCCATGGTCAGTTACTTGGTCTAAATGAGGTTGACTACACCCTCTGCAGGGTGAATAGATCAATTATGTTGGTCTTCCCTTGTCCTTTCAAGGATGTGGATGGATTGCTTTTCCCTAGGAAAAGATAATTGGCAACAAGAAGCAACCCAGATTCTCAGCATGATTGCCCCTGAATGGCCTCTGCAAACCAATATCCCTTACATATTGAAAACCAAGTAAGTATGAAGCCATAATAATGACACTGAAGTGCTGGTGAAGAAGAAAAAGTGAATCTGAGTCTACATACAGTCTATGTTCAGATTTGGGCCTTCACTGGGGTGGAAGTGTCTCTACTCTCTTACTGCATCAGAGGACTCTCAGTCTTCCTTAAGAATACTAACTCCCTGATACAGAGGGGTGAACAAGTAGATTCCAGCCAGCTTTTCTGTTCACATTGTTCAGCATTTTGCCAACAAAAT